CACACACATCTTTAATCCCAGAACTTGGGAGGCAGAGATAGGCAGACTCTGAGTTTGAGGCCAGCCTGGTCTACAGAGTGAGTCCCAGGACAGTCAGGGCTACAGAGAGAAACCCTGTTTTGAAAAAAAAAAAGTTTGTTTATGTATATGAACATTTTGCCTACATATATGTTGCACACCACATGTGTACCTGGTGCGTGTGGAAGTCAGAATAGGGCATCGAATCTATAAGAATTGGAATTAGGGATGGTTGTGTGCCACTGTATGTTAGAAAGAAACCCAGGCCCTGTACAAAAAAATCCTCAACAAGTGCTTGTAACTGCTGAACCATTTCTCCAGCCAGCCCCTTAAGGTTTGTTTTTATTGGCTTTTTAAATCCACAAACAGGTTCCACTTGTTTCTTTCTCACATTCGTTGGTCATTATGTCCATGTTTTCTTTATATACATGGCCATAAAAGCCATTCTAAAGCCTGTGTCTGTTCATTCTCTCCTGTCCTGTGTGAGTCAGTCAGAGGGAGGTTTTTCTCTTTTCATTGCTTCACTTCAGGTCCAGCAATTTTAATATGTATTTAATTTTTTCATTATTTGATTATTTTAATGGATGCAGATTATTGTGAGTGTCTCCCTGTTGAACATCTGGATTTTGTTATTTTTTTTTCTCTAAAGAATGCTATGAAATGAATGCGTCTGTCCCCCAAGATCTCTACATTGAAATCCTATCCTCCAATCTAAGAATATGAGGAAGAGGTCTTTGGGAACTGATTAGGTCATGAAAGCTCAGTCTTTATGAATGAGCCTTTATGGTTATGATTAGTACAGATCTAGGATGTATCCTTAAATGGCCTTGAACTCAGAATCCTCCCATCTCAGCCTGCTGATTCCTGGTATTGCAGCGTGAACCACTGCATCAAAAATACACAGGTTTCTGCTGTTTTTTTAGTGGTAGAGATTGAACCTGGAATTGATGTCTGAATGAGGCTTCAGAGAACCTCTTTGCCCTGTCCTTCATGTGAGAATACACAAGAGGGTTCCAGCTACATGGAATGGGCCTTGCCAAGGCGTCGAATCCTCTTGTGCTTTAATTGTGAGCTTTCAGGCGTCTGTGACATGCAATAGCTCGAACTGACTACAAACTACGCAGTATAGCACATGTTCTTCTCTGTGTCAGTGCTTAACTCTTCCTAAGCCTTAGAGTTGTTTTGGAAATACAATACCAAGGAAGACAAGTGATTCCCAGTTTACAAAGGCAACTAACCAGCAAGGAAACTGGGCTAGGAATTCAGCTCAGTAGTAAAGTGCTTGCTTAGCACACAGAGGCTTTGGTTTTGAGTTTTAGCACACACAATACAGGCAGACATGCATGAAACAAAACTAACCAACCAAATAAATAATAATAAAAAAAAACTCCTGAATTTTAAAGCCAGGTATAGTGGTCCATGCATGTAATCTCACCCCTTGGGAGGCTGAGGCAGGCGGAGCTCTGTGATCTCAAGGCTAGTCTGGTCTACAGAGGAGCCAGGCCTATGTAGAGAGACCATGTCTGTTTTTTTTAAAGTATTATTAAACATCTATGGTTTGGGAAGATAGCTCAGTCAGTAAAGTATTTGCCTCATAAACATGAAGACCTGAGTTTGATCCCCAGAACTCAAGGAAAAAGGCCAGGTGCGATGGTATATATGCCTTGTCTCAGGCTTAGGGAGACGGATAGGATCAACTCTGGGGCTCACTAGCCAGCTTAGCTGTGTGCTCCAGGCCAAGGAGAGACCCTATCTCAAAGAAAGTGGATGGCATTCCTGAGGAGATACCCAAAGTTATCTTTGGGTCTCCACACACAAAGTTGCTTTTGTCCTCCACATGAAATGCACACATGTATAATCGGAGCTTTCTTTCCTGCCCACCAGTTCCCAAATAACCACTCAGAGGCTTACTATTACTTATAAATGCTTTGCTGATGGCTCAGGCTTATTTTTAGCTAGCTCTTACATTTAAATTAACCTATTTTAAAATCTATGCTTTGCCATGTGTTTTGGGGCTTGTTACCCCATTTTTTACATGTCTTGCTTCTGACTGGCTGGCATCTCCCAGACTCCATCCTTCTTCTCCTATATCTCTGCTTGAATTTCCTGCCTGGCTCTATCCTGCCTTGCCATAGCCAAAACAGCATTATTTATCAACCAATGAGAGCAACACACATTCACAACATACAGGAAGATCATCTCACAGCAATATGTACATTTGCACATACATAAATACATGTATAAATAATAAAAATTAAATTATAAATAAAAAATACATGTATAAAATAAATACATGTATAAATAAAAAATTAAATTTATTTAATTATTAAATTAAATAAATAATTAAATATTTAACACAGCTAAAATAATAATAGAGAAGGTTGAAATAGATGTAGAAATCAAAATGAACCAAATGTACTGGTACCTGTTTATTATGTCAGCACTTGGGAGGCTGAGGCAGTAGGATTATGAATTTGAGACCACAAAATAGCAAGACTCTGTTTTTATAAGTAAATAAATGGAAGTTTTAAAATGTATTTGAAATAGTTTAGTTTTATTATTTTGGGACAAGGTCTCACTGTGTAGCCCTGGCTGTCCTGGAACTCACTATGTAGACCAGGCTAGTCTTGAACTCTCAGTGAGCCACCTATATTTGCCTCCCAGGTGCTGGAATTAAAGGCATGTGTCACCTTTAATTTAAATACCTGGCTTTGTAACTGAAATTTTATTTGAATCTTAAATTTAATGAAATTTGAGACAGCATACAGCTTTATTCACAGATTGTAAACAGTTGAAAAGTGTTGAGAATATTGTCTGAAAAGACTTAGACAGAAAAAAACACATGAAGATGTTAAAAGAGCCCTGGAGGCCAGAGACGGGAAATTCAGCATGAGTTTAATGGGAGTGCTGAAAGAAACGAAGGAATGGAGCAGAGGCCATATTTCTCTGTTTGCTTTCTTGATAGAAGAGTTTCACTATGCAGCCCAGGCATACTTGAACTGTTCCTGCTTCAACATCTTAAGTGCAGAAATGACAAGCCTGTGCCACCAAGGTTGGCTCTGAGACAGTAAAGAGATAGTGGGAAAAAAATTCTAAGAGGTAATGGTTGTCAGATTTTTCACTGATGAAAAGTGATTCACGTAATTAAGGTCAGTGAGCCTCATGAAGACACGTTAGACATGTTAAATAAATCTACACTATGATGCAAACTTCAAACACCAGAGATGGAGATGTTTTATGCCCAGCAGCAGAAGAAAGAGAACTGTCAATGTGTTGCAGTGGAAATGGACGTTGAGGTAAAAAGAAAAGTTCTGATTAAAACAGTGGGGTTGGAAAACACTGAGGGTGATGGATAAGAAGGTCAGAACCAATGTCAGCAGACTCTCCCAAATCCCCTCCCTTAAAGGTGTGCAAGTCACTGTTGCCCTTTAATGTATCCTTTTTTGGGAGGGGTGAGGGTCTCACTATGTAGACCAGGCTGGCTTTGAACTCGTTATGTAGACAAAACTGGCCTCAAACTCACAAAGATCTACTTGCTTTTGCTTCTAGCATGCCGTGATTAAAGACATGTGCCAACATGCCTGACTATGCATTTTTGAAGGATGGACATCGAGTGATGATTCATAAATCATTATGCCAAGGGTTTTGCGTGTGCCACAGCATCTTTGTGCAGGGGAAGAAACAATTGGCTGATGTTCAGAAAGTTACTTGGTGACTAAATAAAGCGGGTACCGCAATCTCTCAGATCCAAAGTCTAGAGACTGTGCTTTTGGAGACAAATAGAAATCTCCCAAGTAAATTGGAGGTAAAAGCTCCCCCCCCAATGCTATTTATGCCTTTGGAATCTGGGTGTGATCTTGGAAGAGGGAGGCTTGTGGAGGGTGTGGAAATTATAGTCTGAGATGAGTTTAAGGTTGTGCAATTCCAAATGAATCCTGAGAAATTCTGGAGACTTTACAGAGAATCCACACACCATTGGCCATTCAGAAATTAAGAAACTGATTGACCAGGTGTCTCTACTGATCATCTGAGTTCCCTTTGCTCTGTGATTTCCAGCCTTCATACACTAGTGGCTCATACTCCCTTCAAAGCTAATTCTGAGTGGAGGCTCCCTATCCCTTCTCTAGCTTGTTCATCACCACTTTAATCTCTCTCAGTTTCACAGTTGGCTCCTTTTCTGCCCTTTCTCTCTACACAGAACTCCTTAGTAAGCCCACATTTCAAGTTGGAGGTTGTCCATACTCTGAAAAGAGCCAAGAGCATAGGTGACCTCAAAAAACAGTGATTCAGGGATGGGTAGTGGTGGTACATGCCTTTAATCCCAACACTTGGGAGGCAGAGGCAGGTGAATCCCTGTGAGTTCAAGGCCAGCTTGGTCTACAAGAGCTAGTTCCAGGACAGCTAGGACTGTTACACAGGGAAACCCTGTCTCAAAAAAAAAAAAAAAAAGCAAAACAAAAATAAAAAACAAAACAAAAACAAAAATAAAAACAAAACAAAACAAAAAAACAGTGGTTCAGTTGAAAGAACACAGCTTCAATTTCTTTCAGTACCCACCAATATCTCTGTTCAGGTTCTGCAGACTGTACTACACACAGAAAGTTCAGTGTTGACCTCTGGATTGTGGACTCTGAATCCAGACCTCTTTCACATCATTTGAGCCAGTGTCACTGTCCTGGCCCCGTTAGCACTATCAGGGAAATGACTGCTCTAGCCGGGGTCAGTGAATTTTAGGGAGAATTTTCCTTTGGCCCCATCAGCACCCAGTGGAGAACAGCTCCGACGAGCTCTGATCAGCACCCACGGGTGGACAGCTCCCTCAGTCACACTTTTGGAGATCTAGCGGGTTGGGAGGTCTGGCCGGCTGGCCAACCCCGCTCTGCTTTTCGGATTTCCTGGGACACGAATGCTGCTCCTAGGGCCTCACCCACCCCCACGAGCCGCCCACCTCCCAGGAGCACGGCACAACGTAGATAACTAGAAGTGCGCAGACCCGGGCAGCCACGGTCCTGGCTCCTGGGTCTGTCGCACCCATTTCCCCGGCATCTTTCTCGGCTCCTGCAGAAACCTTCGGTCTACGAGCCGGTTCCTGCTCCCACCTATCCCTTCTCGCCGGTACCTCGCTCTGACCACGCAAGCCACACGCCAGCGCTCCCGGCCAGAACCTCACCACCATCACCACCACCACCACCACCACTACATCCCGCATCCCCCACGGCTCGACCCCCATCCCCCCGCCCCCCTCAGGCCCCGCCCTGCGCCACTCCCTCCCCTCACCCCTGCGGCGCGGCTTGCTGCCGCGGTGTCCTGGCAGGGCGCTGAGGTGTGTCGCCGGCGGGTGTCGCAGGGCGTGTCACGAGGTGAGTGGGAAGACAGAGGCCGCGAGCCTGAGCACCAAGGGCGCGCGGTGTTCTTTACCCCTCCCCCTAGCTGCCGGCCGGCGGTTCCTGGGAAGATGGCGGATCGCGCGGAGATGTTTTCTCTCTCCACCTTCCACTCGCTGTCGCCTCCGGGCTGCAGGTACGCACTCGGCTGGGTCTCATCTTCACGTAGGACTCCTCCGCCTGCTACCCCACCCCGTCGATTGCAGCTACTCAAGCCAGGGGCCTCTTTGGTTTGCAGGCCTCTGACTGATGCTGCCCATCCCCCATCCTGGGCTCCGGGTCCCTCCGTGTTTGCTCCCTGTCGCGCAGACCCAATGGTACCCCCTCACAGACACACACCTTTCCTGTTGGGATACCGAACCGCACCCAGTCAGGAGAGATGACCTGGCAAGGATGGGGTCCCTAGACTGACCCTTTGAGGGATTTTAGGCAGGGTGCCCAGCACCTAGTCCGTTCTTGACAGTGTCCTTTTGGCCTTGTTGTGTCTCCTTCCAAGAGGCTAGGGCCTGGCCCTTAGTCCAGGCCTGCGGAGAGTGAAATCAAGCTTGAAGCTTTAGGAGTGGGATGGGGGATGTTGGAGAAGGATGGGGGATGTTGGAGTGGGATGGGGGATGCTGGGGTGGGATGGGAGATGCTGGGGTGGGAGGGGGCTGGACCTTTGGGTGTAGGCCTGCTTGGTAGGAGGGGGATGGGGACACAAGCAGAGCAGCTGAACCCCTCCCTCTCCTTTTGTGGCATCTTCAGCTACCCCTCTCCCTGTTGGCTCAAGGTGTCTCCCTTGAGGCTAAAGATGTGTGACCCACAGGGACTGGGAGCTGAGCTGAGGAGAAGTAGGAGGGGTTTGGGGAGTGATGGCTGCTCTGGGCTCATTTGCTGTGAGGAAGGAAGGGATCCAGGGGAGAGCAGTGTCTGGGATCAAAATGGCATGGCTTTAGTCTAGATGTTGGGGACCCTGGGAGCTGGACATTTTCCACCAAAGTCCTCAGGATCAGCTCTCAGGCCAGGAGCCTAGGATTGATGGCTGTCTGACCCTGGCACCCTCTTCAGGCCTCCCCAGGACATAAGTCTGGAAGAATTTGATGATGAAGACCTGTCTGAGATCACCGACGACTGTGGACTGGGCCTTAGCTACGATTCAGACCACTGCGAGAAGGTGGGGAAAGGGTTGGGTGTGCAGGACTGGCCTAGAGAAGAGTTTTCACCTAGGCTCGGTTTCCCTAGCACCCTTGTGGGTTTAAGAGTGTCTGAGTTCAACTTCCAAGCAAGAAAGACTCTGCCCTTGCTAATAGCCTTTGTTATTTGTCTTTCCTAACACACGGTAGGCCCTTCGAGGGGCCTTCTCTGTCAGTTCTCCCCGACATAGTGCCCCAAGAGGTAGGAGGAGTGTGCCTTTGCTTGGGTCCTCTGTACTCAGGTCACTTCCCACAAAGGTTTAAACCCTCCGGTCTCCAGCACAACTCAGTCTCTGTGTCTCTTTTTTCTGTCTGGTCTCCCTCTAAAATCTTTTCCATCCTGCCTCCTGGTTCTGTCTCTACATGTTTCCATTTTCATTTGCTCTGAGAAGATGCCATGTGCCAAGTGCAGGGGGCTTCCAGGTGTTGGGAGCAGAGTCACAGACACACATACACACACACACACACACACACACACACACACCAGCTTTCAGTTTAGCAGGGGAGAAATACAAGCGAGAGATTGTGATCACCCAATATGCCAGTGGCGGGATTCCAACTGGACACCAAGTGTGACCAGGGGGAAGGGATTCTAATCCAGACTGCAGGAATCAGGAAGACTTCTCGGAGAAAACGTCGCGCATAACCCCGAGGTTAGCAGGAAGCAGGCAGATGGGGGGTAGGCAGGAGGGTGTGTGTGGAAGAGAAGACTCGCTGGCAGAAGGACTAACTGTGCCAAAGACCCTGGGTTTGGTACAAATTTGGTGAATCATCCGAGTGCAGGCTCTCCTTATTGATACATACTTTTGTTACTTATTGATGATGTTCCCGTGGGAGAGTACATCAGTACATAACGTGGAGGTGAACCTGTTCTGTAGTCTAGCAGTCTGCTGCATAAGACACATCAAATCCATGAGGTGTGGGTTGTTAAAACACTGTGAAAGCAGCAGAGCGGCAGTGTCAGAGATGATGCGGTTTGGGGACGACTAAAGCTCGAAGGTTACTTAGGGTTACTCTGAGAATGTCTCCGAAATTTGGGCCCTTCCTGGAAGTGCAGTGATCAATATGTGTCTTAAGATTTTTTTTTTGCAAACAAACAAACAAACAAAAAACAAACGTTGCTATGTTGATGGGGCGAAGTGGAAAGAGCTCGTTGGTTTCCTGCGTCCCCCTCTTCTCCTACCTGGGACTCCAGGATACTGTTGTCCTCTGGCCCAGCCCTGTCTTGTCCCTCCTTCTTGCAGGACAGCCTCTCCCTGGGTCGCTCAGAGCAGCCACACCCTATCTGTTCCTTCCAAGATGATTTCCAGGAGTTTGAGATGATCGATGACAATGAGGAGGAGGAGGAAGAAGAGGAAGACGAAGAGGAGGAAGAGGAGGAAGAAGGAGATGGGGAGGGCAAAGCAGGGGTTGGATGTGGTTCCGAGGCACTTGCTGGAGAGCCCCTTATTCCCTCTCCTTCCCTAGAGGAGCCCCACAAGCACCGACCCACCACTCTGCACCTGACTACACTCGGGGCCCAGGTGAGCTTCCTGATATCCACCACAGGCCCCTCCCTCTCTTGATTGCTGGAGTGGTCTTCAGTCACACCGCTTTGTCCTCCTACCTAGGACTCCTTGAACAACAATGGCGGCTTCACCTCTGCACCTCCATCCTCCTGGCAGGAGACAGTGCTGGGCTCGCCAGCCAAGGAGCCCCTTAAAGGTGAGGGATGGAGGCTAGTAGAAGAGGGAGGGAAAGAGAGGAGGGGCTGGGTGCTGAAAGGAGGCCTGCTTTCTGAAGGCAGTGACCGGAACCCCTCTCTTTCAGAGCTCCCAGCCCCTCTCATGCCGGCAGAAGAGGAGCCCCATGAGGTACGGTCTCTGGTACACCCTGGCTGTGACTGTGAAGGGAACCAACCCCCAGAGCCACCAGTGTCAGGTGGGGCCTCGCCTTCCTCTGATCCTGGGATTGAGGCTGACTTGAGAAGCCACTCCAGTGGAGGCCACGAGGGTCGGCGAAGTAGTCAAGAGCTCTCGTCACCAGGCTCGGACTCTGAGGATGCAGGTGGTGCACGCCTGGGCCGCATGATCTCGTCCATTTCGGAGACGGAGCTGGAGCTGAGCAGTGACGGTGGCAGCAGCAGCGGCCGCTCCTCACATCTCACCAACTCTATCGAGGAGGCTTCATCGCCAGCCTCAGAGCCAGAGCCCGAGCCTGAACCACTGCATGAACCTCCCCGCCGCCCTGCCTTCCTGCCTGTGGGCCCTGACGACACCAACAGCGAGTATGAGTCCGGCTCTGAGTCGGAGCCTGACCTCAGCGAGGACGCCGACTCGCCCTGGCTGCTCAGCAACCTGGTGAGCCGCATGATCTCTGAGGGATCCTCGCCCATTCGTTGCCCTGGCCAGTGCTTATCTCCCGCACCACGGCTGCCAGAAGAGGCTGTGTCACAGGCCAACCGGGTACCCCAGGACTGCCAAGACCCTGAGGCAGTAGCAGGGCCCCACGTGGAGTTGGTGGACATGGACACCCTCTGCGGTCCACCTCCGTCGGCCCCTGCAGCGCCTAGGCTTGGCCCTGCGCAGCCTGGGCCCTGCCTCTTCCTCAGTAACCCAACACGGGATACCATCACCCCGCTTTGGGCCACACCGGGCCGCACGGCCCGCCCTGGCCGCTCCTGCTCTGCTGCCTGCTCAGAGGAGGAGGACGAGGACGAAGAGGATGAGGAGGATGAGGACGATGCGGAGGACAGCGTGGTCCCTCCTGGTTCCAGGAGTACAGGCTCCACTGCGCCGCTGGATGCCTCGCTGGTGTACGACGCTGTTAAGTACACACTAGTAGTGGATGAGCACACGCAGCTGGAGCTGGTGAGCCTGCGGCGCTGTGCAGGCCTGGGCAACGACGACAGTGAAGAGGACAGCAGCTGCGAGGCCAGTGAGGAAGAGGCGGGAGCTACATTGCTAGGTGGTGACCAGCTGCCAGGGGATGATGCCTCTCCTGACAGCCCCGACCTCACCTTCTCCAAGAAGTTCCTCAACGTCTTTGTCAACAGTACATCTCGATCCTCCAGTGAGTGGGAAAGTGGGGGAAGATGGGAGGGGGGCAGCAGAAGAAGCCACCATCCTGGTCCCAGACCCTATCTGGTACCCCAAAGTGCCCAGAAGGCCTTAAGTTCTAGAGGTGGTCAAGGCTAGACACTTTTTTCCTGGGACAATGAGCAGTGATCCTCCCCAAGGGACAGGGAAGCCAGTCCATAGCCGGGTGCACTCCCTTCCTTTCTTGACTTAGGGTACCCAACAGTGTGCTGCAGGGAGGGGATTTGGCTCCAGCCCAAGGCCAGTCTTTAAACACTTTCTTTTCTTTCTCCCTGGAGGCAGAGTTCCTAACTCTCCCCATCTCTGCCTCTCTTGCGTGTCTCTCAGGCACTGAGTCCTTTGGTCTTTTTTCCTGTCTGGTCAACGGGGAGGAGAGAGAGCAGACACACCGGGCTGTCTTCAGGTACATCAACTCCCTCACCCATGGGGACCCCCAGCCCCAGCCTACAGATTGCTTAGGACATTGCTGCCTGTGGCGTGCCTGAGGCCTGCCTGGTCTCAGTCAATCTCTCCCTGACCTCAGGTTCATCCCTCGGCATCCAGATGAGCTGGAACTAGACGTGGATGACCCAGTGCTCGTGGAAGCTGAAGAGGATGACTTTTGGTTTCGTGGCTTCAACATGCGCACTGGCGAGCGTGGCGTGTTCCCGGCCTTCTATGCCCATGCAGTGCCAGGTCCTGCCAAGGACCTGCTGGGTAAGACCCCCACCTACAAGAGGAAGCTTGCCACCACAGACTTTTCTCCTGTCTCACCCCCTTCCTCTCCCCAGGGAGCAAGCGGAGCCCTTGCTGGGTGGAGCGCTTTGATGTGCAGTTCTTGGGCTCTGTGGAAGTACCGTGTCACCAGGGCAACGGCATCCTGTGTGCAGCCATGCAGAAGGTCAGTGTGGAGATGGTGGCTGGCACCGGCTGGAGGTCCACCTGGATGTCCCCCAGTCCATCACAGCACAGCTCCCCTGACTCAATGGCCTCCAGCCTTGAAGGGGGGGATGTTACAGGACTGACTCTCAGGCCCAATTCAGAAGCCTACGCAGAAAGACCTAGGGCAGAGTGAAGCAGCTGTGCCCTTTACCTCTGGGCCTATTGATTGGTAGCACATGCCTTTAATCCCAGCACTCGGGAGGCAGAGGCAGGTGGATCACTGTGAGTTCAAGGTCAGCCTGGTCTACAGAGTGAGTTCCAGGACTGGCTCCAGAGCTACCGAGAAACCCGGTCTCAAACAAACAAACAAACAAAAAACAAAAACAAAAAACCAAAACAAAAAACAACAAACAAACAAAAAACCAACCAACAAAACAAAAACCCAACTCTCATCACCTCCTCTTTCCTGGAAGTTCCTTAGTCACCCATTTATCCACTCCGTGGACAATTATCAGTACCTTCTGACCTGGCCACCCCCCCACTCCCCCTGCCAGACACCCGAGGCTAATACAGCACAAATCAGCTCTGTATCAGAGAGCTCCTGTCAGGCTATGGGGATCAGGCATAAGGTAGCTGGAAGTGTGGGCAGAAAAAGTTCTTGGCACCTGAACCAAGCAAGAGAAACAACCTGGTTGTAACAGAAGGGAGGCAAGCTAGGTGCAGGGTGCGATTGACTTAGAGCAAAGATGACCAAGGTCATCCTTTTGTCTTCCAGAATTGTCTCTGGGGCCCTGAGGTGCCAAGAGTATTCAGATAATCTAAAATGAACAGAGGCATGATGAAGAGAGAGAGAGAGAGAGAGAGAGAGAGAGAGAGAGAGAGAGAGAGAGA